GATAGCAGAGAGAGAGGGAGTCTGGCGACTGGATGCTTGTGTTGTTGAGAGAGACTCGTGGGGTGGTCCGAGCATCATGGTGTGGGGTGGAATTGGTCTTGCACAGAGGGTCGGCCCTGTGGTCTTCCCGAATATCAGTCCAGGGAGAGGCAATGGTGTCACAGCAGCTTGGTACATTGATCAAGTCTTGAGACCACACGCCACACCTCATTTGGCACGTCGCCGCAACCACGAGTTTCAGCATGATAACGCCTGTGCCCATACTGAGAGAGCAGCAAGAGACCTCCTCCAGCAGAATGGCATAAGAACCATGCAGTGCTGTCCTCAGTGCCAATTTGAATCCCATTGAGCACCTGTGGGATGAGATTCAAAGACGACTGAAAGACGTCCGACCAAGGCCGACAACTGCAGGTGAACTGCGTCAGGCGTTCCTCGGAGTGTGGGCTCAAGTGCCTATGGTACTCATCAACCACCTCACCCATTTCATGTATCGACGTTGCACGGCAGTTATCAGTGCACATGGCGGACAACGAGATATTGACTTATGATGCCATTTTCTCAGAGACTAGTGTTGTGTTTCACTTTAAGAACATTTGACACATTAATTTCAACCTTGATGGTCAGTTTTGCCAAGTTTCATCTTTTTAATATGTCTCAAAGTATGTTTACAGTGTTTGGACAAATAAGGTTTCTCATATTCATGGAGACGTTTATTTTGCGGTTCAGTATATATTGAATTACTTGTGGGATGTTCATATAGCGTACATATGAAAGCAATATGTATGGTTCCTTTATCTTCTTCTTGATTTAATGGTTTTTTTTTGATACTTGATACAAATCGCAAATGCTAACTCTGTTGCACTTTTTCTAGAACGTCGTTTCACTTAGGACTAATACATTTTTTATTTGAAACCTTTACGTTACTCTTGGAAGATCGTTTCGCGACAGAGCAATTGTCTTACACGGAGAGAAGACATACACACAGACACACATTATAGAATCCAAGAATGGCAAAACCTAGCATAGGTTTGGTATCCAACCATGCTGAAGTTTTGCTTCTTCTTTGTGGAATAGTTAGGTTTGTAAATAGTCAGAACTGCTTCGATGCTGCAATACAACATGACAAGTACATGGAACACCAGGCGTTCAGGAAGCTCGGGAGTCCGTCTCTGTATGACTGTGCGTCTGAATGCCTTGCGTCCTCTGTATGTCTCTCCTTTGGTTTTGAACACAAGACACGTACATGCCTTCTAAACAGAAACAGCAGTGCTCGTGTAAGCATTTCTCCAAGATCTGGGTTCGACTTCAGCATGTTTTAGTCATCATTGATCAATTGACCGATCATTGAAAGGCGATTAAAGACGTATCAAAAAGACACTAAGGTTAACTCATAGATTGCTGTAGACTGCAACTGTTAGCCTAGACACGGATCGAGTCGATACTACCATAGTTTGGATGTGCATTTCTTTGTTTTGTTCACCAGGGTGGGTCGTAGCGAGTATATTCGTGAACGAAGGTGCAGTCAAACTCTCTGGCGTTTCTCAATGTATTCTAAAACGCTGAGTTCAAGATTGAAGGGTCTAAATGATCCGAAAGAACGCTTCTGTACGTATTCGTTCTTGGGACGTCCCAAGGGTTTTCCCAGGAATGTGGAAGTAGTCCGTCAGTGTTTACGTCATTTCAAGAACACGGTCTCGTGAAAAACGTATGAACGAGGTGACCGATTACTCGTCCAATTGAAAAGCTGTATATCGCATAAACTTCAAATAAAAACATGATATTAATATATTCCAGGGTGAACTGCTTCTCCAATGTATCATATCGTCACCTCATTAACTTATAAAACCTCTTTAGATTGAGTACGTCATTGGCGGATCTATGAGTTGGATCGGATGTGAGGACTGACAGGGATAGTTTTCAAATGACAACATATACTTCCTGAAAATGTTTATGCTTGTGGTCTTTGATTATATGTACATTGTCAATGACATGTTGACGTGAGATATGTTCGTATTTACAAGTAAGTCTCACTAGATGGATTCTAATATGAACACAATGAGTGAGTGTCTAATGATTCTCAGTTTGCTACCACTTCGACTACTGGGGTTCTGAATAGTATTAAAATTACTTGGTTCGTGTGGTGGACACCAATCTTTTGAGCCGATAATTCTCCTCATAAACTTGAGGGGCCATGACCTTTTGACGCAGGTTGTAAATAGGTACTTCTTACATCTACTTCATACAGTGTATGTACATGTATATATGAGTGTAATATAATGCAGTGAGCAGAGTGATCGATTTTCCAGTCAGTTGTTAGATAGGTACAGGTGCCCGTGGAAACTAAGGGAGCAACTTTTGGATTTGTTTCTGAAACAAATTACATATGCCTCACATTGTATGCCCTTTTCTTGCAGTCTATAATTCAGAAGTGTTTTTATTAAACTGTGACCTGACCAAGACTGGAGAATTGGGGACAAACTCCCAATGCTTATCAAATGTCCCAACGGCGAGCACCTCCATTGGCCTCTCAAAGTCAAGGCTCCTGGCCTTCACATGTTAGAACATTTCTCGGGGTAAAAGGCTGCTATCTGAAGACTGAAACCAGATGCTTAGGGTAGAGGGGGTTCGTCTATCTAGGCTGGCTGCCCTTCTTGGCGAAGGAAAGATCCTTCCCAACCCTACTGCCCTGGCTAAACGTGTAAACTCCCACAGCAAATCGGAAGTTGGACTTCCGAAAACAGTCTGGTCAACATCCTTATTGTGACATCTCTCATACTAGCAGTACTATCTCTCACTTTACCCTTGGATCTATCAGTGATTTTGAGGGGATGAGGGAGGGTCTGTTGCATGGGCCCAGATCAGCGCACTGGAACGACGGCAAAAAACGGGAAGCAGCAGTGTATCGATGCTAATCCTAACTTGAAGGTAGAACATGGCACTCGGGGGTGAAGCTCCCAGCCAGAAAGGTGCTGCTGTTGTTTAACGCTGCACTCAGCAACAATGCACCCATGTGACGGCGGTCAGTGCCAGACATCCCAATGGTTGGCATAATGAGCATCGATCCATGCAATTTGGATACGATGACATGCATCAACCAATTCAGCGAGCCTGACCGCCTGACCACCTGATCCCCTTAGTCGCCTCTAACGTCAATCATGGGTTGCTGAAGACCAATGCTAAACCGGATCTCCTACTACAGAACCTTCACAGAGAGACGCCAAGCAAAGATGGGACCATATACTCTCCACGCCACTGCTCTCTCAGCCTTTGGGAAGAAGCAGGGGGCTTGCTCGAAGTCCAGTCCTGCATGCTCACCCTTGTTTCTAAGGGAGGACGTGGACCGCTAACAGAATGCAAACACTGTATCAACCAGACGCCCCTACAACCTCTCAGAACAGAGAGAAGCTCATAACGTCAATTACTAGGCTGTCAGTTTCAGATATGATTATTTACAGACCACCGACATGCAGCTTTAACATTGCTGATTTCATTGTTCAACAAAACACAAACTAAAACCTCGTGCTTTACTGCTGATGTTTGATTCGTTTACTTAAACTGTGTGATTTGTGGAACAAAAGTTCCTGTGACAACAATATTTTAGTGTATTTTTCAAACAAGTAAAGTTTGGTTTTCAATATTGTAGTACATGTATTGAATCAAGTCACACAAACGCAACTGCTGCAGAAAAGCATGCATTCCAGCAAAAGTTGACTTTTATGCAAGCCCTATGCATTTCACTACCCAAGAATGGTTATGGAAACATGTGCGTTAACGGGATTCCATATGCATTGTTTAGCATCGTGCTGACTACAACCACTCAGAAAAACAACAAAATTACTTGATGCCAGTGGGACAGACAGACAGGCCTTGTTTCGAGTCTCTATGGTTACAATGTGTGAAGCCAGTTTCTGGTGTTCCCCGCCGAGATATTGCTGGTATTCTGTTGAAAGTGGTATAAAGTCACTCTCTAATGTCTCCTGACCGGGGCATTTTCCACACGAAGCATTAAACAAGGATGTCCTTACATCCAGTGATTCAGTCATATCACTCCGTACACTGATCTTCCAGTGGAAATGCTTGGTTACAATAGGTCTCCAGTGACGATGCTTGTGTTAAGACGAAAATGTATAGCTTGGTCAGGCTGGGTGACTTGGTTTCCTGTGTGTAATTGTACCTCATTGGCGTGGGATGTTGCTCTGAATATGGCCTAGAATAGATTATTTATAGACAGCTGTGATATAACTTGAATATTGCTGTCTGAGGCATTTAACAATATTACCCACTTTCCCTCCATCGTAATTTCCACCAGTTAAAACAAAAACCAATAAAAAAAAAGAAAGAAAATATTTGTTTATTACTTACGCATACACAACAATCTATAATGACACAATATCAAGCACTGTTTATAAATTACTTTACAGTGACATTAACATTGGAAATTGCAATCATTTATGGGGAGAATTAGTTACTTTTTTCGACAGAGTTCTTGAAAACTTTACACTGAGAAAATACAATCAACATTTTTATCCAAATAAATAAATAAATTGTTTGCTGTATTTGATGGATGCCCTGATAACAAGTATTGTGAAAATATTCTCTTATTCTGTTTCTCCTTGAACAGAAACAAACGCTGAAATGGAAAATATATGTTACAACTTGACTGTTGCCATTTCTACAACTTAATGCTACATGTTTAATCATTTATAACTTAAGGCAAATATATATTGAATTACTTGTACAGCGTACGTATAAAAGCAAGATATATGGTTCCATTATCGTATTAATAATTTAATCGTTTTGGGATACTTGACAAAAATGGCAAATGCTAATTGTGTTGCACTTTTCCAAGAACAACATTTCACTTAGGACTAATAAAGTATTCATTTGAAACCTTTACGTATTTCTTGGAAGATCGGTTTGAAACTGAGGAATTATCTTTCACACATTATAGTCGAAGAATGGCAACACTGAGCATAGCTTTTTTATCCGACCGTGCTGAAGTTTTGCTTCTTCTTTGTGGAATAGTTAGGTTTGTAAATAGTCAGAACTGCTTCGATGCTGCAATACAACATGACAAGTACATGGAACATCAGGCGTTCAGGAAGCTCGGGAGTCCGTCTCTGTATGACTGTGCGTCTGAATGCCTTGCGTCCTCTGTATGTCTCTCCTTTGGTTTTGAACACAAGACACGTACATGCCTTCTAAACAGAAACAGCAGTGCTCGTGTAAGCATTTCTCCAAGATCTGGGTTCGACTTCAGTGATATCCAACACTGGCCCAAGGTTTGTCATTCTTTAGTTTTGGCAAGAATTACTTCTTCAATCTTCTCAAAACTGCTTTCACTGAATTGTAGCTATGGTCACTTGTTTAGGGTAAATTGAACGTTGTTCTCAATGTTCACCGGAATTACCACAAATTCTTTATTACAATTAGGAGCGACGTTTCAGTGTTGGTTCTTTCACCGTTATCAAGCACCGTTCACGTGCTTGATAAACCTTGTTAGAACCTACACCAAAACGTCACTCATAATTGTAATAAAGAAGTTTTTCTCTTATGTATCTTATTCTTATTTACCCCATGTAACCCATGGGCTTGAGGCCACCGTCGCTCATTCACAACTAGAGGCAAGAGCGTATGTGATTTAAACACATGACGTGCTGTGTACTATCTGTTTCTATCACTATATAGAGCCAAACAAAGAAGATTGTTAAGAATATTTCAATAAACGTCTTGAACATCCGATTGTTTTCTTGGTTGGATTTATTGGCCAAATGCCTAAATGGCTTCAGTCTATGTTTGAATAACTTTTCCACCCCCAACTTTGAGAAGTGCATTTGTATGTTATATTTCCAGACTCTCGCTGGTCCCTGTTTAGGAATGTCATGTCCCCTGACCACCAGCTGTCAAGTAGATCGACATGGCCGTGCAAGTTGTGTTTCAGGTATGTTGTAACTGATTATTTGCATGGGCAACGAGACATACACAGTTGCGTAACTTATTTGTCAGCCCATGTGTTTCAGGTATGTTGTCAGGTATACACTTAAATAATCGAAATAACGAGAGAAAAGTCGAAATTCGTAAACCAATAAAGGAGAAATTTTGATATATTTATCTTAAAAAATCGGATTAATGACAAAGACTAAAAATGAGGCTACCAAGGAAGCGTTATAAGTCTTTCGTTGGTGATTGGTGTTAGGGAAGGGTTTGGATTTGTTTGAGTCGTGGAACTTCATCGACGTAAACCGCAGATGAATGTGATTATCTACACAGAGTTTCGGGGCTGCGGGCATCCTCCTGATGTATCCGGGGCCAGCGTGACCCATGACGGACTCTACCAGGGTGCTGTGGCAAGGTATTCATGCAAGAAGGACTACATCTTCTGTCATCAGAGAAACACCAGTGTCTGTCAAGCCTCTGGACAGTGGGAGAATGTGGCAAGTCTCTGCGGAAAGTTCAGATGGAGGAATCCGGTACGTATAATGATGTTCCATACAACATTTTCCATCGCAATCGAAATAAGAGATCATGTTTAAGTTGACAAAATGATGTTCTGTTGATAGGATATGATTTTCCACTTGAGCGTTCTTGTTATTTATTCTGTAACAACGATGTACGTAAAACATGTAATTGGTCCATTAACACTATACCCCGTTTGGATGCCGGGGTAGAACTGATTCCCAGAAACCTGATCTGGATCGTGATTTCAGGCTCTGTGACTTCGTACCCGAATGGAATGGATAGGTAGTCATGCTTTCACTCACTGGTTTTCCTGATCTCGGTTATGTACAGCGGCCGTTATATAACTGGAATACAGCTGACTGCTTGTTTCGACAAGATCCTCTCTTTCATTCACACTCATGATTCGCCCAAGTATTACTGAAGGTGCATGTGGAACCTGGCGCATGTTATCTTCTAGATTTTCCTCTAAATGTACGCTTAATCACGTGTGTCAACAGAGCCGTACCCATACAATCAGACGTCATGTTTGCTTATGTTAGTAGCTATGAGGGAACGATGCTGATACATGAACGTAGCCAATCAGAATGCAAGACACCCTCAGTCTCGTGACCTGCCTTTGAGTGAAGAAGAAACCTGAGAACGTTCCCCTGTTCATTCTAAGATAGGTTCACCTCTGTTGTCGTGTCAAGAGGTAGAGCGTCCGCCTGGAGAGCGAAGGTCGTGGGTTGAATCCCCGGCCGCTCAAATCATAAAACGTTTAACAGATGGTAATTGTTGTTACTCTGCCTGACGCTCGGCATTAATTGGCTAAAACAAGAACGGCCCTGTGTCGGTATACTGTGTCTGAGTGGGGTATTCATGTTTTACTGCGGCATGGTATCTCAGTGTACTATAAAGTCGGCATTAGTCCGGACTGGTACAAGCAGCCACATACACACACGTGCATGCACGTCGCTATATAAGTGCAATAATCTTGGACCCGACGTTAAAACCCATTTTACCTAAACATTCTCAGATAGGTTATATAGGCGCTGGAATCCTCTCTGTTCAACTGCTCTCTTTTCTCTGTGGAGAATAGTATTGTAGGCACTAGGATGGTGCCTCATCTGCAGACAATCCCAGGACCATATATTCCTTTGCCTAACGGGAAGCTGCCTTCACACCATAACAACACACAACATACACATAACAGCGGCAAAATATTCTTCTTCAGCAGCGTCTAGGCTTACAGGCGACGTTATAGATTTATCAAGGGTGAATTGATGAAAAACAGATACCCGTGATCACTGATATGCTAGTTTTGAAATTCAATTCTCCGAGTAAATATCCGATATTTAGATTTCTAAACATACAGTAAATAACGCCGTGAATGTTGATTTAGTAATGTATCAAAAAGGGCGAGATGTCTTATGTACCTAATTTTCAGAGGTCGTTTACATTAATTTTACTTTGCCTATAATGACAGTGGAGGATATCACAGAACAGGTAATTTCCCAAAGAATTAACAAACCTGTCACATGTTCAACGTTAAGGTATTAAAAAGGGATCTAATGACACAGGTCCCTTCTGCGGAATGACTGCATCTGATAACGCTTGTTTTTCTGTCTTTCTTCATACTTCAAGAATCTGAACCAAAATTACGGAGAACTGCTCTATTTTTTGTGTGCGTCAACTTGTGGTATCACTGAAACCTATTGAATACTGGTTTTTATCGAAGAGTAAATGCTGACGTTGAACATTAAGACTGTTAAAATATACCTTGTCCCCGGAATATATTGATATTTCAGAGCCACCTAAAATTCTTGTTTGCGTTGATTTTGTCACAACCACAGTGGAAAATTATCATTGGTTTTAGATTATGTGCCAGTTGGTTAAGCTTTGCGTGTGTCACTTGAGTGAATCATTTATTACGGATATTCGTAGTAACAATTCAAAGTCTGGAGATCAGTGGTATGCAGATGGAAGGATAGTGTGTTTTGTCATCTATAATTGCCACCACTATTTGCTTTTTGTTGCAGAGTTTGGACAACCTGTATGATCTGCCATGTGGACCACAAAGCAAGTTCAATGTCGTTGTCTTGGCTACTCCAACCACAGCTTTCAGGTAATGAGGGGTTCTAATGATCTGCTTCCAGTGTGTGTGTGTGTGTGTGTGTGTGTGTGTGTGTGTGTGTGTGTGTGTGTGTGTTTACGATGCTTCAAACAGTATTTCAGTTGCTCCAAGGTTTGTTACTTTGGTGAAATCCTTTATCACGGAACGGTACTGGAAATATAAAATGTTACATCCCTCAACTTCGATCAATGAAGATTCAATCATTGGATTTTCTATTCAAGGAGATAGAAAAACGTATACTGTCAGATAGACATATCACATTTTCTGAACTTGAGGAAGACACATGTCTAAGTCATGGATCCATTGAAACTATTATTCATGAACATTAACAGATGAATAAGATATCTGCTCGTAGGGTGCCAAAGTTTCTAAATTCTGATCTTAAGGAAAAAAGAAGTGACATTGCCAGAGACAACTTAGTGCTAATTCAAAAAAGATAAGTAAGGGGTGATGGAACATGGGTCTACCACTATGATCCCGAGTCAAAACGTCAGTCCATGGGATGGCACCATTCCACTTCTCCGGCACCAAAGAAATTCAAGTCTTCAAGGTCAGTGAAGAAACTTATGGTCACTGTATTCTGGGATGCAAAGGGTGTGATCCTTGTCCATTAAGTCAAAAGACGATTACCGGTGCCTACCATGCCGATTGTCTTCATTGCCTGTTAGCGGTGAGGAATGCTGACTGCTGGACTTCTACTACTTCATGACAATGCCTCTTCTCACTACTTTCGACTTGCAAAGGTTGCTGTGCGACAATGTGGGTTCGAAGGGCTGCCTCACTCTCCAGACTCGCCAGATCAGGCCCAAGTGATTTCCACCTGTTTCCTAAACAGAAAGAACACCTTCGTGGAAAGCGGAATGACGACAACAATGGATGGCTTAACTGACGGCAACTGAAAAGCTTCACTATCAATATAAGAAGTGTATTGAAAAGCCGGGAGATTATTTTGAAAAATACAAATGTTGATTTTGTTTGTTAGACTTAGACCTTTTCGGCTGAAAAACCTTTCAATGCGACGTTAAATCTCATTCTCTCACTCACTCAGCATGGTGTTATCAATAGTCATCATGACATGTGAAACACAATAAAACGGATACTGTTCCTTCTCTTATAACAGACATCTGAATATGAACAAATTGCAAGAAATTCTGTGGCATTTAATTGGCTAACCAAGCACGTTTTTTATATTTTTTCCCCTAAACCACCTCGCCCTCTAATGAACAACTATTACCTTGTTAGCTGAAAAATTATGGGCGGGCCAGAAGTGTCGCATTATTGCGATGAACGATGTCACTGATTTCGTATTGTTGTCTACAGTTCTTTTGAGTTAATGAATTAAACAAATAAATAAGGAGTCTGTAAAGTTTTTGATAGTTGAGGTATATGTTGTTTTGCCCCACAGTGAGCACATCGCTTTTCACGTTTATCAACCGACATAGGTTTAAAGGCAAAACAGCAATGAAAATGACATGAATGGATATCTAATAACCAGTGATAACACCAGGTGTTCGCGAAAAGTGAATCCATGTCCTGCCCTTCCGATAGCACCTGGTATTTACACAATTTGCCTAAAACAACTGCAGTGTCCCTCCAAAACTGTTTAACTACTCTTTTTCACATATATTTGCGTTCACCTGCATGTGTTCAAGACATGACACTACTCAAAGGAATATCAAAACATCAGTCACAAGACAAAAGATTTCCAGGACGTATTTTCAACTTTCCATACACTTTAAAGTTTGGCAAATCTAGTGAGCCAGGAGGACCTCTATCGTTATAGTTTGTCCCTTTGTTTTATTTCTACCTCAGTTTGGTTTTGTTACAGGTGTTCCGTGGCGCTGGAGGCAGGTGAGGACGTGACGTTGCTTTCAGAATTCAGATTTAACTTTGGATTGAAAAGGAACGTGACAGTTATCAACAGCAAGTTTCACCATCGTTGGGGTATTGAGGAGATACGACCGCTTCCTTTAACTGTAGGAAAGGAATCTGAGATCCAAATATCTCTGAATGACGGAGAGTATAAGGTATGATCAGACTTGGAGTATGCAATGGTAATGATGTTTTATTGTTTGGAACAATTCTGAACGACTTTCACTGGTGTTGTAGATATCATTTGAAATTCCTACATACTCACAGAAGCGTCATAATGTGAACAAATATAAAACGCTATGGTAAAATGAAATGTGGTTCTGTAACCACAATTAAAGCAAATTGTCTACTAGTATAAAACGGTGCATGTTTTTACTTTACAGCTTGTGGTGGATGGTGTTGTTGTGATCAACTTTCCTGAGAGACTCCCGGGGAAACAGCCTAACCGCATACATCTGAAATATGACTTCATTGTACGTTTAATGGAAATCTCAATCTGATTCACAAGGACCAAGAAAGATACACACACTTGATGCATACATGTAGGTCTATAGCTTTGGATCTGTGGGGTAAAACTTTAAAATTGTTGATATACTTAATACAAACAAATTGATTGTGTCAACGGTAACCAACTATGCATATTAAAATAATGTATCCTTGGCTGTAGGAGCTTCGCCCCTGCCTGTCCACTGATCAGTATAATTGTACAATAACTACTGTACTGGGACTGAGGCGTTTGCCCTGAAGTAGAAATATACATGACTTCCTAAAGCACCGTTAATCGCCGTGCAGAGTTGTGTTCTTTAAGCGTGTTAAAAACATCACTCGTTAGTTCGAATGACAGATTCACCTGATTATGTCCCTTCGTTTGTCAGCCCAATAAACCTGGTCAATCAATCAATATTGGTTTATTGTTTCTGTACAAAGGAGTCCTCAGGTCTATAGTACATACATCCATTTGTTTATGAGCAGTTGTCTTATCTATAGAAATAAATGTGTTTACACTGAAACTTATTAAACACATGATTATAGTAAATGATTAAATAGTGTCAGAGAATATATATGGGAGACTTGGAGTTAATGAAATGGAATCTTTAGAATTAATAAAAATGTACAATCTCACACCAGGAAAAGATTTCAAGTTGAAAATCCTTTTTATTCTTCAACCCTTTACACAACTCGCAATAAATTGGAAGATACCTACATTCTCTAATCAATAGAGCTATTGTTTCCAAGAAAGGGGTTCGTAATTTATTTATTACAATTTGTAATGAATGTGGTCAAATTGTTCAGACCGTAAGTAACACAACTAAATATCCAGATACTCAAATATGAGAGTTGCTGGATTTCCCGATTGACAATATCTTCAAATTTTGGGTAGAACATCATACAAGTAGAATCTATCCCTATGGGTACGAACTGTGCTCCTCTCCCAGCTTATATGCTACAATGTGCATACGAACAGGAGTGTGTGACTGCTTTAGTTTAATTAGTTTGTTTGTTGTTTAACGCCGCACTCAGCAATATTCCAGCTTTTAGTTCAATTAAAATAGCGACCCCTGCTAAAAAATTCAAACTCAATTACAGACTTTTGATAGTTCGGGTCCATATGAATGTGATGCACCCGACTACTTTCACGATTTTCAATTTGATTTAGTTTCAGCATGGCGAAATGAAGTGAGTTTAAAATATTTGCAACTAGCTTGCGTTGGATGCTCCGGCTATATCGCACTGTGTGGCATTGTTTCCGAAAGTGTTTGTTAATGAATGAACGCCCTTGGCTGTTCGAGAAAATCAGTCAAACTAAATATCATCGATACAAGTCATACGAAAACTCCGTGGAAGTGTGCGTGACTTCTGATTTTTTGGCCCAAATTATCCCAAATGTGAACAATATCATACCGTGTTGATATATTGATGTCCAGTGTAAACGTGTAGATCATGGTTATCTTTTCTTATTCTGAGGGTGATGGTGCCCTTCGTTAATTGAAGCTGCCTTTGGACTCTTCATTTGGGGGTCGTACAGTGAACAGGAACTAGTTTGATGAGCTCTCTGGATTCCCTTTTCCAAAATGGTACGGACAGGGTGTAAATTTGGCTGATAGATCGAGGAAAGGGAATAATGTTGATGGTCCAAAGGGGATACTGGGCGGCCTCAATACCCTTCAGTTGAACACACATCAGCAGGAACAATTTGTTAAAGTGTATGCATAGAAATGTCAACAATGTTCATGCTTGGGCTTATATCAATGTTCATGCACAACAAGACATGCAGCCGATTTCGGTTTGGGCTGTTTACGAACTAAAACTGCTGGTTTATTATGTAACCAGAGTGTTTTTTGTGAATACATCAGGACAACTTGGAGTCGATGGCTTGCGGTATAAACATTTTTATTTTATACATGTATATATATACATACAGAAGACACCATGTGCCGGGTCAACACATAGTGGTAGTGGTTGTTGTCTTGGTGCCCCGGAGCACCCAGCCTTACCCTAGCTAGGCTAAGGGTAAGACCTTTCTCTCCCTGTCTCTATCTTCTCCCTCTCTCTTTTTCTCTGGACCAAGGCTTATATAGCCAATGTCCCCTGACATTTAGTAAGTGATGAATAAATGTAAACGATAATACATCAGTGACATACTTGCACATCTCGTTCAGGATGGCAGACAGTCGATGTACAATCAAATGGGGATTAACAATTGTGAGCATCATATTATAAATAACGGCAATTCAGTGTTTCAAGGCATATATTTGTCATGGCCCCAGGGTAATTAGCCTTCGGAATTAAATGTTCATTCAGACAATTGTTGTCGTAAATCAGTCGCTATGACATTATTATTACGAGTGTTTTTCAAAACGTATCTAACAAACGAAATACACTCGTTGTAATAAAAACGGTATCTGAGGGGACTTGTTTAGTCGTCTATATATCTTCAGCTCATCTATCTACCAAAGTTGAAAATCAAAGAAACAACTGTGAAACCATATTCATTGTCCTTAGTGGAGCGACTGAGTGTAATAAAAGAGCCGAATTGTTCACTTTGAGTTAAAAGCATGAAACTTGGCACAATAAAACTTTAACCATGGTGATTAATTTTGGCTATAGGGCCAAGCAAAATGGCCACCATTTTATGCCTGGAATTTAGCCTGCTTCTTGGTATTGTTTATGGAGAGTGCTAATGATGCTATTACCGAGAAGAACTGACAAAATGAATGCCATGAAAGCCAATTACTACTGAAAAGTGAGAAACAAATAGTTCAATGGTTTAATTAAAGGTAAATATGGTTGGAAAATATTTGAAGCAATTATCTGAGATTGTGGAATAACTGTTTGTTGGATCTTTGAGATAAAATAATGATTTTTGACACATTAACAGCTCTAAACAAGGTGAATAGTTTTGGCTATGGGGCCAGCAACATGGTCAAATGATTTTAAAGATGGCCGCCTTTCTCAGGCCGTCAATTCAGGTGAGGCCTGGCATTCTAACTGCGCTGTGAGACAGTTTACGTTCATCGACATTTGTTTTATATTATAGCTATTATATAGTTATCTGGATCTGTGCTTAGACATTCAAAATAATAGCACCATGCGTACCAAGCGAAAGAGGAATGCTTTTGATTTTCGACTCGTGAATTTCCTCTTGACGTCGAGCACTATACAATCAGCTCCAGCATTTTGTGTCTACTTTTCTCAATTGCTTAAGTATTTAGGAGATATATAATTTATTCAAAGTTCGCGGAAAGACATATCCGCTTACAAATAAGGTTTTGGCTTAAGGTTTCGCCATCAAAGACCTGTCAAGAAACAGTATGGTGAACAGTCAGAGGAATTTACTGATATGGTACGTCGTTTGTCAACATGATGCGCGATGCTATCCCTTTTCGTGAACACCTGCAGTCACCAAAGAAGCAAACGTCTAAGACCTGCATCACTTCGGGCGTTCATCCCACATCAAACTTACACACACAGAAATAACTGAAATAGTGTGGGACTCAATTACTTTGACCAACCATTGAAATAGTGAACAAGAAGTCGACATTCGCCAGTCAAAAAACAGCTTTAACGAGCCTACAGGCGACATCCATTCCAGATTACACTTTGAAAGACTTTGCCAACGACTATGTCGACGGTGGAATTAGCTCTTGGCGTAATCAAGGATGGCATCGGCATCACCGTTCCGGAAGTTTAAGGCACAACATTTAAACAGTCAATAAGAAATACACGAACACAACGATGAACGGACTTTCCAGCTCAGTCATTCATGAGTTCAACTTCAGGGCGTTTTCTGCGAGCGACACATCCTGCTCGCGATCGTCCGTACAACAGCTACAGTATGAATGTAAATACGTATATGGTAATGGACAACATTGGATAGACAAATAGACAACTAATTTTTACTTAAGATGGATACGTAAGTGATTATCGACTCAGACAATGGGATAATCGATGAAGGCTAATAATGCCATAATATGAATAACAGTGATCAATGAGAAGTGACATCGTAGCACAGGTTGTCCGACAGTCAATATACAATGGAATGGTGATGAGGATTAACAATGGCGATTAGCGTCATTTAAATAATGACAATTAAGTGATGTCATGGCTACGATGTAATTAGCTTTTGGAATTAAATATTCATTCGGACAAAGGTTGCCCTGAATCGGTCGCTTTGACAATATCGATTCAAAATTAGAACCTTAAACAAAACAAATTTCTGAAATGGGTTTTACGCCGCTTTTAACATTATTTCAGTTATATTACGGCGTGTCAGTTTAATGTGGGAGGAAAGCCCTACGTGATGCAGGTCTCCGACGTTTACCACTTCGGTGAAACCCAGGAGCAAGGGTATGGTGCTGACAAACTTAGAATATAATCGGGTCGAACCGGGATTCGAACCTACAATCATAGGTTTCTGGCGTGTCCAAGGGACTCAACCCTGCACAGCGAATCGCGGCGCCTTAGACGACTCGGCCACCCGTGCCCCCGTTTAACATATAGAGGATAGAGATTACATGGCACAACTTCCCTCGGGCTATATAAAGTCTCTTCCGTTTCAAATGTTTATTGCATCGAGAAATAGACAATGATTTTGACGGAATCAGTGGTGAGTCGTACAGCCCGTAACTGTCGGTACCTCGTTACCCCGGTGTTAACATTTGCTAGGTTGCATGATAAGAAAACATATTCAGACTCTCTTTCCCGATCTGGTTAAGCGACGGACGCTCTGCTGACATGACCCGTACTGGGAAGTCCTGAGATTTTGTTCAGCGGTAGCAAGAACTAAGATCAAATTTTAATGAGATTATATATTGTTTTTTGTGATTCACAATTATGCATGTCAAGTCTCTAAGACAAAATTGTTATGGATGAGCAACTTCTTTATTACAATTGGGCGACGTTTCGGTGTAGATTTTAACACCGTTATCAAGCAAATGATGTACAAACTAGGTATGAGCATGATATATATACATAACAATAGATAGATGTTTATATAACAGATAAGGTTGATGTACACTGATTGATAGGTAGTTATGATAAACAAGTTTATACAAGAGATAGGGTTGATGTACAGTGATTGATGGGTATGGGATTAACGTCGCCCAATTGAAGTTGCTCATCAATAACAATTTTGTCTTAGTTACCATTCCAACTTCTAGCTCTAAATGCCACTCAAAGAAGTCATGTCAAGTCTGTTTAAGGTGCATTTAATTCTAATTGTAAACAAACATATGTAACGTATATAATATTATATTTTCTGTTACTCTGTACATTTATAATCTCACTAATTTAGCACCATCTGAATAATAATGTTAGTATACGAGTACTTATACATTAAGGATATTTATCATCCCAAACTGGCTCCCATAGGAGATATC